TGCAGGAACGCACGTCTTATCAGTATGACAAGGGGGGGTGAAGTCAAACAATACAGGCATGTGATCTGAAAAAACATTGTCACCGATTTTCAAATTAGAAACAGAGACATCGCGTGTTAAAACGAGGTCCAGCGTGTGACCATGTTCCTGGGTGGGGCTGCTCACCTGCTGAGCTAAGCCAAAAGAGTCCAATAAATCTAGAAAGTCCTTCACTAAGGGCTTCTCCTGACAACACACATGCAAATTAAAGTCACCAATAAACAAAAAGTGAGTGTATCTCTGTGTGATATCAGCCAAAAAGTCAGAGAATTCATTTATGAAGTCCCTAGAACGAGGGGGGCGGTAGACGAGTGCACACAGAACCAGAGGAGAGTGTCCGAGTTCAAAGACGCTCAGCTCAAAGCTGGCGCGGGACACCGGGATGGACAACTGTTTACAGGCCAAGTTTGCTTTAAAAACTGTTAATAATCCCCCCCCGCGCCGACCTGATGGCCACGGGGCATTGAAACACAGACAGTCCGGAGGTAGTAGTTCCACCAAGGCGCTGGACTCACCATCAGAAATCCAAGATTCTGTGATGAACAAAAAATCCAACTCCTGATCTTTAAAAAAGTCATTGAGGATAAACGTCTTGTTGGAAACAGACCTTGTGTTGATTAAACACATCCTGATAGGGTCCAACGCAGGCACAGCCGTGGAGGGAGACGCGCGCGCCAGCGGGCGCAGGTTATGAAGAACAGCTCCTCCTGGTCTGCTGGTGCGGCGCACAGGTGAACAACTCCAGGTGTTTCCATGGACTGAGCGGCCAGCAGCCGGGCCCCGGGAGCACCACGGGTCAGAGAAGAGAAGATCAGATCCAGAGCGAGTCCTGATAGAATAATCCACACTTTGCCTCAGTTTCACCAAAATCCCTGCACGCTTCCCACGACGTCTGCGACATTTCCTCCATGGAGAAAGGCCAGGGTCACGCAGAAGGAATGCAGGAATCTCAGCCAGGACCGGTGGGGGAGAGTGCTGGCCGCTGTTCAAAAACTCCGCGGGAATTTCAGCAAATGTACGGAGCTCCAAAAGTGCCCGACGATCATACTGAAAATATGACTCGGCACACTGCACCAACCATTGTAAAAATAACAAAAATAAAATGCAAGCAGAGAGCGAGAGACGGGCAGCCCTACACACCGGCGCCATCTTGGAAAGATCATGCATAGCATAAGCTGGTATGTAACAGTTATTTGGCCTTCTTTACATTTTGTCAGTCATTTTTGTGTCTTTTGGCTCAGCTGCTTGCTGGTGAACTCGGCCTCGTCTCCACTAAAATCACCAAAGCTGATAAAGCAGAGCACGTTAAAAGGAAACGACACTCTGTACCACAGATGGCTACAAGTGAGTCATGCTAACTGGACAAGAACTGTGGTTCTGTTTGACTTTAACCTTCAGCTTGTTGGATTTGAGGAGTTTTTATCTGTTATTTCTTGTTAACACAGGTGTCACATCCGGTTCCATTGGACTCGGGTTCATGACTCAAAGTTTGGGTACAGATGAACGTCGGATTGCTAAAATGGCCCAGCAGGTGAAGGATGTGTTGCCTCATGTCCCACTCAACGTCATTACAAAGGACTTGGGTAGGACACGGTTTTATAGCATGGTTTTGTTTTAGCCATTCATAACTCTTATTTCTAAGGTTTTATCTCCAAAACGATCCGCTGGTCCTCAACATGCCTCAGCTTCTTCACTAAATCCATATTTAGCCTCTGGCATTCATTTTCAGACTTTGTTCAGTTCCCATAAGAAGGGATGCTACAAAAATGTGTTGCACAAAGAAAGTTGCAGATTGTTTCCTAAAAACCTGAAGGACTTCTTTCATGACAGGAGCGACGTGAACGTGTGAGATAGTGGAGATGAAAACGAGATTATAAGAAAACTGTGCGTTTTCTTTGAATACTGTTTGTAGTCTAGTCAGAGGTAATAATTTCAAGTTAAGATTTAAATTCGTTGGTTATGTATATTCCTTGAAGGAATGCACACCTTTGTTGTTTATGTATTTATTTATTGTAACAAAGTTTTAGGTAAAGTGGTCACTTGACTCTGCTCAAGTAGCTCACACTGCTCAGCTACTAAATGTATCGATCTGTGAAATGACCACTTCAAGCAACTTCTCTTTACTAAGGTCCGTTAGTTGTGCTCATCTGAAATCAGACCAGTTGTAATCCATCATCCATCGCAGAGAGAGACTGTGAGACGTCATGGATTTTAATCCACGATCAGCCACCTCTCATTATTAAATGTTTAAAAATGCAAAAGACAAAATAACTGTCAGTCAGTTTAGCTTTTAAATGTCAATATTTGATTGTGTAAATACAAAACAACGGCCTTTAAAATGGTGCTGGTTTTCAAATGTTATCATTTTAAGCTAACATTTATTCATTATTAATATTATTATTATTATTTGTGTATCTAATGAAGAATTTGTTAAATGTTTACAATATGAAGCATCTGCGTCAGTTCTTCTGTGTGAGAATACAAACATGATATGAGTCACATGTTTTTCTTTGTTTGTGTTGTAAATCCATAGTAACATGTCGGGCAGAGTTTAATGTATGTTTGGTTTTGTATGATGCTCTGACGTGTCGAGCTGCTCTGGAGCCTGTTTACATGCAGCCTCTGCTGATCTTCACCTCCTTATGGTGCCAAAGACCAGACAAGTCTCTCCTCTGCTCAGGACCACGTGTCTTATTGCTTATATTTTGTATATAGAAGAAGGTCTAAATAATGTTTGCAGTGGTTATATTTTGTTTTCCTTCTGTCTTTTTCTGTTGTTTTCCTAGTTGTATCATGTTCTATACATTTTAAATAAATCCAGGTTTATTTAGCTATACACCTAAAGTTGTCTTTTTGTTGTGTCCAGCTACAACCAAGTGTGTGGACACGACCATAACAAATCTGCTGGAGAGCAAGGAGGACGCCCAGCTGGACGCCAGTGGGACGTCACCATGTGGAGCCTCGACGATCGGCTTTCCTTCACTTTCTGCTTCAACCGTGAAGGTTTGACACGCTGCCTCGTGCAGCGCACAATTCCAGCAGCTGAGCCGCTTTACTTTTTCTCTTACTTGGCTTTGTAGTTGTAGCCACTTTACATTGATCTGGTGCTTTATCGTGTTAATTTAAACAACTGTAATTCACTGAATGTTTACAGTGTTAGTCGCCTCAGATCAGATCTGCATCTCAGCTCATCTTCACCAGCTGGTGGTGATGGCTGAAAGTTTGTGTTGAGATGGTGGGTCTGACCTGCAGCGTCTCACCACACACACGTTTTGTTGCTCAAATGCACCTGACATCATGAGAGCAAAACTCGTTTCCTTATAAAATAATGAGCTTCATGGTGGTCATGCTTATTGGTGCATGTTCTTCCTAAACTTGTTTACGTTTTTATTAACTTACTGTTTTCTTTGTGTCCTTAGCCTGCTGCCAAAACCTTTGGAAAATACCCAGTTGACAGACATTTGTCTCTCCAACAAAGAAAAGAAGCGTTGTATAATTTTGCACGCAGGTGAGATATTGGAGGAAATATTTAGAAAAGCTTGTTTAGTCTCTTTTTTTAGCAACAACGGTAAGAAATTCTACAATAGGATTGTTTTGCATAAGTACTGCAAGTAATTAAATTCTTGATGTTGTTTCTTTGTTTTAATAAATAATTTTCGAGCACAATAAATCCTGCCACATGTTGTCTTACAGCTGTGCAGCATGTAAAGCTTGGTTGTCCTAAAGTTGTTTAAACAGCTGTTATTCAAATATATGTTGCTCAGCGCTGATTCACCTCAAGCTTCATCAATTATTGGGTTTAGATCAATGAAGTAATTCACAAATGTGAACTGTGCTGGTTTGATCCAGAACCAGTTTGTGTTGGAGTGAAAGGGCGCAGCGGTGCTCCGTTATTGTTCTGCTTCCTGCTGAGTGTACAAACAAACAGATAAGGCTGTCACAGTTTTATAATAGTGTGCCAGTCAAGTTATAAAAACAGATGTTGTAATTTTCAAAGAATGCAAAGTTTAAAATGTGATGTTGGATTGTCTGAGAGCAGATGTGCTTCTGCCCCCAAGTGGCCAAAACTACTCACTGCAGGCAACACACACACTGAGCACCAAACTAAGCTCGACAAAATGACATTTGATTAAGTTTTAAATCAACATTAGATTAGATGTTCAACTGCAGGTTTCTATGTTTACATTCACCAAGTCAAAAACAAGAGAAAAGAAGATTTATTGATTTGTGAGACCGCTGCAGCGCATGTAACAACAAAACCGTACGGGTGGTCATCAGTCAAGACAGTTGAACTAGTTAACTCGTGAAAAGTGCAATAACTGGTTTTCTGTTCATGTTTTTTCAGGCGTTACATTGAAAAGCACAGACTGGATGAGGAGGACAGTCAGTGAATCATCTTTGAGTCAAGCAGGTCTAAAAGAAGCATCTTGAACGTGCACTGCTTTCTGCTCTGAACGGTGATTTGTTGTTTATTTTAGATCAGCTGGTTCTGTTGATTAAAACAGTTATTTGCAAATATTAGCAACAAATATTCAGAACATGTATCCGTTCATGGAATGGTGTTTATGCACGTGTTTGGATTTCTTTCGGACCAATACATCATTTTGATAACAGTTTGTATAACGATCCACCGACTGTAAATCATCTATTTATTTTTATAATGTTCAGAGTTGTTGATGAAAATAAAGTTCAGCTTGACCTTGTTTTAAAGAAATTCTTTCAAGCAGATTTTTCTCCAGTAAACTGCTGTTTGGTCAGATGTAAACTTTAGTTGAGTATAATCCAGGTAAAGAGGAGTGTCTGCCAGTGTTTCTCCAGTTACAAAGCTGTCGCGTGCGTAGGTCGGACAGTTTAATGGCTGCTGAAGCTCCTGATCAACAGAATCATGTCCACTCAGTTTGACAATCATCTCTTGAAGACAAAGGACCCAACATCTGTTGACGTCTGCACTCTAAATGAATCTTGTCTGTGAAACTAATGGTTGAGTCTTATACTTCATTTATATTTATGATACACCTACTTTAAAGGCCTAGCATTGCTTGGAGGGATGCATGTCATCCGTCACCTTGTATTCAAGAGCTTGATGCTCAGATCATATGTTTGGAAAGGATAAAGCAGCTGTTTTGGTCAAGCTTTGGGGAAAAAGAAAACTGAGCGCACATCATACAAATCATGAGGTTACACTCTCATGTTAATAACTTACTGCCACATAAAATTTTAGCTCAGAATCTATAAAATGGAAAGAGTTGTGTTGAAAAGTTGTGGCAACCATCTTGAAACTGCCTGGTCAACCAAACGGTTGACCACACGTTGAGTCACTAAATGTTAAAGAAGGGAGAACCGAAGTTGGCCATGTTGGTTCAAGCATGTCGCGCTAAAAGGATCCACCAGATGGAACTGGGCCAGTAGTTTGTCCTTCCCTCCAACCAGCAGGTTCAAAACCAGGACATGAAGCTCGACGTCTTGGGGTAAACTTTGAAACAAGTGGATTTATTTTTTTACATATTTGGTGATAAAGGTCTTACTAAACAGATTTAAGACCCTTGATGCAGAACAAAACCTCAAATGATATGTTAGTTTTAAACATGCTCCACCAGATGGTGTAAGTGTAGCAAATTTAAACTAATGCAACTGAAAAGGACAACTTGCTATAAAATCACCTCACTCATGCCATCTACTTGATCTAGTTCTATAAATATAACTCTTTTAAGTGTTAGTACATTCTGAATATCCCAAAGGAATTTTTCTACTTTTGATGCTTTATAAGCTGATCTAAGTTACTATGATAAAAATCAAGAAAAACATAAAATAATGTCAGTACTGTTTAAAATACTATTTGTGACAAGTTCTTTAAGCTTGGTCCAGATGTTGCACAAATCTTTGGGGGTCGAGTGCATCGGTACCGTACGACTGTACCACGCTGGTGGAGCTCCTTGATGACGGACAAAGAACGAATGGAAGGGCTGTGGAGCCCATGGTCGCAGGCCTACTGAAGGGTGGCTGCAGCAAAATGGGCTGACAACATGCAACCTGTAGGATCGTGCCTCCGTCAGCTGGTGGAGCAAGGAGTCCAGTCCCTGCCCATCACTCATCCCTGCTTACAATGAGCTATGAGAAGAACTCATCTTTCTCACATGCTGTGTACATGCACATGTATCCCAGCTAAGTCCAGCAGATGGTGTATTACCCTATTTACATACATCCTTGACCTGCACATTGCAAATTCCTGGCTGTGTCCTCCTCAACCATCAATTGATGTCCCTCCGAAGCTTCTGGCCGGCACTCGCCCACAGCTTGAACCAAGCCAACGATGACTCACGTCTTCCCTCAGAAGAAAGGATACACCTTCACGACCACAACCAGATGTGTGCCGTGATGGTTTGGAACACTGGCCTCTTCACGGTGACAAGCGGGGACGATCCAGCCGATGCCCCGAGGTGTGTCGAGGTGTCATGTCAGAAGAGCACAGTGTTCTTGTTTTTGAACACGGCAGGGAAGCTTTGTAGCTCATCACCATAAGTGAACGATACGAAATGCTCAAAAAGCAGCAGTGTGGTTGCACAATCACACCAGGGAGGTGTGTTGAGTCGGAAGGTTTGGAAATGCAATGTTTTAATATGTTTGGCACCGTTGTGTTAGGATATTTACAAGTTTAAATCAAATCTAACTACTGGTTCAATCAGCCCACCAGTGAATCTTTTTCCTAAAAAATGTAAGAACTCAAATGAGGTGTACTGAGGGATGTAAGAAATAATAATAATAATAATACTTTATTTATAAAGTCCTTTAAAACAACCACAGCTGCCACAAAGTGCTGTACATATAAAATCAAGAACATTTAAACACATAAAAACAGTTGTTAAAACATTAAGATCAATAAAAGTAATAAAAACAGTGCAGATCAAATTCAGTGTGTGCTAAAAGCCAGGGAGTAAAAATGTGTTTTTAAAAGAGTTTTAAAACTGGACAGTGAAGGGGCTCGTCTGATGAGAAGAGGGAGATCGTTCCACAGTCTTGGAGCAGCAACAGAAAAAGCTCTGTCCCCTCTGAGCCTCCGCTTAGACCTCGGCACCTCCAGGAGCAGCTGATCAGCTGATCTGAGGCACCGAGCAGGAGAGTATGGGTGAAGCAGCTCAGAGAGGTAAGATGGAGCAAGACCATTTAAACTCTTAAAAACAAATAAAAGAATCTTAAAATGAACAGGCAGCCAGTGGAGTGAAGCCAGAGTGGGGTTGATGTGCTCCCTCTTTTGAACTCCAGTTAGAAGCCGAGCAGCAGCAACTGGACCAACTGGAGGCGTCTGAGGGAGGACTGGCTGACTCCAAGGTAAAGAGCGTTGCAGTAATCCAGGTGAGAGGTGACGAAGGCATGGATTACTGTTTCCAGCTGCTGTTTTGTAAGGATGGTCTTTACCTTAGCCAGCTGTCTGAGGTGATAAAAACTGGTCTAGACCGCCGCTCCAATCTGGGACTCTAATTTAAAATCACTGTCCATTTTAAAACCCAAGTTAGAAATAGTTTTCTTTACATGTGGTGCCAGAGGGCCCAGATCAACAGGGCAAGGCTCACAAGAGCCACTAGGACCAAACACCATAACTTCTGTTTTCTTTTCATTGAAATTTAAGAAGTTTAAAAACATCCAGGCTTTGATGTCTTCAAGACACAACAGAAGTGGACTAATTGAGGGGGCATCTTTCTTTTTAAGTGGCATATAGATCTGACTGTCGTCAGCGTAACAATGAAAAAAGATCCCATGCTTTCTAAAGATTGATCCCAATGGAAGCAGATAAAGGGAGAAAAGCAGGGGACCTAAAATAGAGCCCTGTGGAACCCCAAAACACAGAGGAGCAGTGGAGGATTCAGACCCAGCTAAGTTGACAGACATGGTTCTGTCTGCCAGATAGGACCTAAACCAGCTCAGTGCAGTACCACAGATACCCACTTGGCGCTGTAAGTATGATATTAAAATGTTGTGGTCCACGGTATCAAAGGCAGCTGTTAGGTCGAGCAGGACAAGAACCACATGTTCACCAGAATCATAGGTCATAAGAATATCATTAAAAACTCTGACTAGAGCTGATTCTGTGCTGTGGCGAGTTTTAAAGCCAGACTGAAAAACCTCCAGGATATTGTGCTCATCCAAAAAACATTTGACCTGTGAATATACAATTTTTTCTAAAATTTTTGAAATAATAGGCAGCTTGGAGATGGGCCTAAAATTAGCCAAGACAGTTTGGTCTAGGCTTTTTAAGCAGCGGCTGCACCACAGCATGTTTAAAACTTATTGGGACAACACCTGAGGACAGACTGCTATTGATAACAGCAAGGATCACCTGCCTGATGCTGGAAAACACCTCTTTTAAAAGACGAGGGGGGACAAGGTCACGAGGAGAACCTGATGGTTTAATATGGCCGACTACATCCTCTAAAAAGGTCAGGGTCACTGGTTCAAATCTATCAAACACAGCCAGGCAGGGGACCAAACAGGAGGGGTCAATAGCAGGGGCTGAAATAAGGGCCCTTGTGGTAACAACC